GGCTACCACCTTTCCCCCCTCCCTTTTCTTGCCACCTCAACCCAAACACATGCATACACATGCACACATATGCACACACTCACATCTATATATATATATATATAACCAATTAATTCACAATTTTTCAAACCGGCATGTATCAATTACCATGYTATTACGTAATTATAAAATCAGATAATCACGTATAAATTTACCTTGGGTAATAACCAAGATCTGGTTATCACACTCTCCATTAAATCCTTCCCCCAACCCACAACTTCCTTTCTTTGGCGAAGCCGATGGCAAATCCACGTGGCGAACCCCACGACCTCATTGTTTCACTGGTGAAACCTCCCTCCCTCCCACACTGACAATATACCCTTACGTCGCCTCTCCAGAACTTACGTTTCTGGTTTTCGATGCAACTTGGAGAACCATGGGTTTGTGGTTTAGGTTTTCCCCTAACCTGCAAAAATATCGAAGATTCAGATGGTTTTGTTTTCAAGGGGATTAGGGAAGAAGACATAACAAAATACGAACTTGAAGATGAAGATGGAGCAAGGTTTGATGAATGATGAACCCTAACTCCCTACAAAATTGACGATGAAGTTAGAGCAAGGTTTGATGAACAAAAATTTCAATGGTGTATTATTTTTGAATTTTTGATTATCGGTAACATAGGGTTTCATTTGTTTAGGGTTTCTATTTGGATTTGTATAACTTCTTATTTACTTCTGTTTCGAGATTATTATATTTGGATTTAAATTTTAAGTTAATCTACATTTCTTCATCTAATTCATATGATTCATGGTTTTTCATCTAATTCCTTTTAGGGGTTTGATTTAGGACTTTGATTTATATCACCATTTTTTCCAAAGAATTTATATAAAGTTGTCATTGATGTTCTTAAAATATTGATTTTGTGTATGGATTTGTGATTCTCATTTTCAATCACATTTTTGTCTTTGAATGTTCATCATTTTTGTTTAATTGGGTTTTTCTTGAATGTCTATCATCCGGGCTTTTTCTTGTGGCATCTGTTTTTTAATATTCATCATGAGTATGAATGTTCTTGAATGTTCATCATCTGGGTTTTTTCTTGTGGGGTCTGATTTTGAATACTCATCCTGGATATGAATGTTCTCGAGTTGAGGGAGATGAAAATGGGAAGAAGAATGAGGGGTTAAAAAGATGAAAATGAGGGGCGCATGATAGAGTTAATGGAGCCCTATCTAACAGTGTTAGCGGAAGGGACCGGTTTGGGCTCCAAAACACGATTCTTGGACCACAAATGTACTTTATGATTTCGACGGATGAAAACCAGAAAAGAAGCATTCACGGGGACGAAATGTGTATTTCACTCTTCAAATTATAAATAAAGGTTGAGTTAATTCTAACATATTCTTCCAAACTTTGTTCTTTGGAAATGGATTAAGCATTTAGTTTAAATTGAATCAAAATGATATAATAAAATAAATATTCATAAATAAAAAGATATAACTATTATGTTATTTTGTTAGAATATGTAATATTCCGCATCCAACCAAGTTTTAACAAGGGAATGAGATAACCCTACTCCCATTGGTAGACAAGTCGGGCCATGAACACGGTGGGACGACTGACAAGCTTTTCGAAAAGCCAGTCGAGGCCAGGGTCCGGATTGAATGAAGGGGACAAAAACATCGAAAAATACAACGATTATATCAATTAAAATAAAAATAAAAAATTATTTTTATATGGATAATCAATTAATATTGTGCTATGTGAAATGACAATGATATGCCAAATTGCGTGGTGGTTGGTGACGCACGATACATTGAATTTTATTAATTAAATAAATAAATTAAAAGTTACCACGTGCCCATAAATTAAATAATGAAATAAAATCCCAAAAAGCAAACTTTTCCTGCTATTTCAACTACCCTCAACTCTCGTATTCTTCCGTTCAATTTTGAAACCAAAAATGGCTGCAAATCTTATAAATGAGCAGCTTCAGTCCAAAGAAGACGAAGAAGCAGTCCCTGAAGAAATATGGAAGTATGTTTTTGGTTTCACTCCCATGGCTGTCGTCAAGTGTGCCATCGAGCTTGGGATACCCGATATCCTCGAGAACCATGAAATGCCAGTGACGCTTGCTGAGTTGGCGTCCGAGCTTCGATGTTCACCGTCTTCGTTGCATCGGATAATGAGGTTCTTGATCCAGTACAAGATATTTCAAGAAAAGGCAGTATCGGAAACATCTGTCGGGTATGCTCAGACCCCATTGTCGCGTCTTCTAACGAAGCATGGACAGCGTAGCATGGCGGACTTCGTGCTGTTAGAGAGCAGTCCGGTCATGCTAGCTCCATGGCACAAGCTAAGTGCTAGGGTTTTGGGCAATGAAGAATCAGCGTTTGGGGCAGCGCATGGCGGCGACGTGTGGGGATTCGCAGCCGGAAATCCTGGTCATAGTAAGCTCATTGATAATGCAATGGCATGTGATGCTCGGCTGGCGGTGAAGGCGGTGACGAATGGTTGTCCAGAGGTGTTCGAGGGGGTGACGACGGTGGTAGATGTTGGTGGTGGTGATGGGACTGCTCTACGTTTGATCGTGGAAGCTTGTCCTTGGATCAAAGGGATCAATTTCGATCTCCCTCATGTGGTGTCAGTGGCTCCTACGTCTACCGGGGTCGAACACGTCGGAGGGAATATGTTTGATCATGTTCCAAAAGCCGATGCCGCTTATTTAATGGTTAGTCTAATTACGAAAGGTCTTATTCATTGGAAATCAAATTTCCGTTTTTCACGAAATGTGTTTTGAAATTGTAGAAAGTGCTGCACGATTGGGGAGATGAAGAATGCATTGAGATACTAAGAAAATGCCGAGAGGCTATTCCTCACGATACAGGAAAGGTGATTATTGTAGAGGCGATTGTAGGACAGGAAAATCACGAGTTTAAAGATGTGGTATTGATGCTTGACATGGTCATGATGGCTCATACGACTAAAGGGAAAGAACGGACGTTGAAAGAATGGTCTTACGTGTTGCATGAGGCTGGATTCAATCGTTACACTACGAAACATATTAAGTCCTATCATTCCGTCATCGAAGTTTACCCATAATCCATCTTCGAGTCTTTTTATTTCGTTCTTCTAATAATCAAATGATTTCAAATTTCAACATAGTAAAAATGTGGTACTTAAAGGAGGGTGTATATATATATATATATATATATATATATATATATAGAGAGAGAGAGAGAGAGAGAGAGAGAGGAG